GAATTAGTACTTTCCATTTGACACAGGACAGTTTATAATGTGTGAGTATATCTTTGTGTCTGAAGACTGGTTTAAAGAAATGTGTCTTGGGGCTGGGGATTTGGCTCAGTGGTAGAATGCTTGCCTAGCAAGCTGGAAGCCCTGGGTTCGGTCCTTGGCACCAAAAACAAAACATAAACCTCCCCTAAAAAACAGTTCAACCAAAAAAATACGGTAAAATAAAAAAAAAAGACCAAAAACAAACAAGGCAACTGCATAAAGAAATGTGTCTGGCTGTCAAGTTGACAAGGGGAGGGTTGTGTTTTATTAATTGTGTCAACTTGAGAGGTTCAAAAGCTGAACTAAATCAGCTCAGCTCTTCTACACCCTAGGATGTTGAGAACCCACCTTAGGGTGGCAAGTCTCCACCCTAGGGTATAAAGGACCTACCCTCAGGTGGCTTCTTGCCTGGATGGCATAAAGGGAAAGATGAGGAAGGATGCACTCACTTCTGCTCTTCAGAGGAGATCCAGTCTTTCTTTTCAACTTGGTCATCATTTCCTGGCTTCTAGTGCAGACTCTTTAGCTTCCGACTTGGATCCTTCAACCTTCCAGCATAGACTCTTCAGCCTAGGGATAATGGTGAGTGCTACCATTCTCACTTCCACCCCTGATTCCTGGACCTGTGAATTTTAGCTATTGGAGACACCATACCATACAGTGGATGCTGAATCAAAGCACATATAGCCTTTCGAAGTACCTTACCCTAGCCCTGCAAGTTATTGCCACCTACCCTGCACTGTAACAGTGTCTTCAAAACACTATTCCACCTTTCTGGATGGTTAGGAATATAGTAAGATCAGTAGATTCCATGAGCATGAGCTCATTGCCTTACTTTTTTTGGCTGTAAAATGTGTTCCTTGGTCAGAGGCAAAGCTGTGTGGAATTCCATGATGGTGGAGAAGACATTCTGTGAGTCCACGAGTGGTAGTTTTGGCAGAAGGATTACATACAGCAAAAGAAAATCCATATCCAGAATGTGTATCCATGACAATGAGGACAAAGCACAGTCTCTTCCATGATAGAAGTGGTCCAAAATAAACAATCTGCCACCAGGTCACGAGTTGATCACTGGGGAATGATGTCATTTTGGGGGTTCAGTGTTGGTCTCTGATGCTGCCATATTTAGCATTCAGCAATGACTGTGGCCAGACCAGCCTTTGTGAGTGGGAGTCCATGTTGCTGAGCCCATAGATAACCTCCATCACCCCCACAATAACCACTCTGTTCATGAGCCCATTAGACAGTGACGGGTGACTGAATAAGCCCCTGTCCTTCAGAGATGTTCCATAAAGGGGCTATAATGCTGCAGTTACCCACTTATGAGTGGTGCCTATATAAGTGCAGAGCCATCCATAAACCTGGCCCTAGCCTTCTCTTCCCCTGACAGCCAATCATATATACCCCACACAGCCATCGGTTCATGCAAGGAAACAGGCAGTATAGCAGGCATAGGAGCCAGAGGTATCTGGACAACTTCCTCATATAATTTACTTGCATCCTCTGGACCTGGCCCTGGCTCAATTACAAATATACCATTTACATTTAATGATAGACTGTTGCTGTGCATGTCCAGCCTTATGACTCAGATTAGATAATACCAGGCCATGGTAGGCAGCTCAAGTTGCATAGTGACCTGGTGTTCCATGGTCATGCATTTAGCTTTCACTAAGGCCCAGTAAAAGGCCAAGAGCTGTTTTTCAAAGGGAGAATAGTTATCTGCAGATGATGGTAGAGTCTTGCTCCAAAATCTAAAGGCCTCCTCCGCAGTTCACCTATGGGGGCTGCTAGAGACTCCAGACAGCATCTCTATTCACCACTGACACTTCAGATACCATTGAATCTTCTGGATCATACTGCCCTAGTGGGAGAGTAACTTGCACAGCAGCCTGGAGCTATTGCAGATTCTTTCTTGTTTTGGTCCCTACTTGTTATGGTTTATGTCTAGCTGTCCCCCCCCCAATGCCTCATGCAGTGATGGGGCAGCAAACTTCTAGAGCTTTTGATTAATTTATGATGTCATGCTACGATTATGGGAATGAGTGCTGCTAGAATTATGGATATAAGTGCTACACTTGCCCTGGGACAGATAGTCTGAATGTAATATAAGGAAGGGAAAGAGGCTTGCTCACTGCTGCCACTACTCCCTTTTTGCTCTTGCAATTTTGCTGTTTTCCAATGCCACAAAGTGTTGCCTTCTGCCTCTGTGCCTTGGAGCCAGCTGATTATGGACTGAAAACTCCACAAACTATGAACCAAATAAACCTTTCCTTCCTTAATTCTGGGTGTCGGGTATTTTGTCCCAACAACAAGAGAAAAGTAACCAAGACACTACTCAAAACTAACAACTTTCCAATCAGAGTAAGAGACCTAAGTAAGGAATGTGTTGCCTCAAGAATCCAAATAGGCCCAGTAGGCATACCTCTTTTTTGGTTGTAGGAGAAGCCAGATACAGCAACTTATCTTTTACCTTAGTAGGAGTGTCTTTATATGCCCCACACCACTGGACTTGCAGACATTTTATTGAAGTGGAAAGACCTTAAATTTTTGTTGGATTTAGTTCTCATCCTCTCTAGCTCTCAAATGCTGTACTAATACATCCAGAATGGTTGCTACCTATTGCTCACTTGACCCAATCAGCATAACATCATAAATGTAATGGACTACTGTTGTTTAGTGTATTCATTTTAAATGGAATATATTTAAGTTATACTTGACAAGAAAAGTTGATTCTTACAGCAGCTAAATAACTTGATTAAAATCATTGTCTAGTATATGTAGTGATATTCATAATTTTTATAGAGTGACAGTTATGTTCTTCAGGCTTGTGCGTTTAAAGCACTAATCTATGGCATTGTGTTAATATTATAAATATAGTTTCTATTTTTTTGTTTTTTGTTTAACTTCAGAAATTTGATGCCAGTATGTCTGAATCAAATGACTACAATTGCAGATTAATGTAGTAGTTGGGAGAAACTGAAGGGGCTTTCTACTTTTCTATTTCAGAAACAGGAGAAAGCACTGAGCATTATCTGTATCTACTCTGTTCCCTCTATTTTCTTTAATCTTATTTACTGAGAAACCATAAAATACTTGAGCCTGAGGTCAGGTATTGAGGGTGCAGAGAATTATGAGACTGAGTCATAGGGGAAATTTTAAGGTATAAATGCATACCATTTTAAATGACTGTAGGACAGGAATAGAGTCCAGCAGATGTTATCAGCTGTAATCTAGGACCTGAAGCTAAGTATTAAAAAGAGAGTTGGAGTTGGACAAGCTTTGTGATATAGGGGAAATCTCTAGTACCAAAGGTACAAAAATGACTAGAAAATAAGAAGTGATCCTTCTGCCTCGGCCTCCTAAGTAACTGGGACTGTAGGCATATGACATACCTGACCATTTCTTTTATTTATGATCAGTAAGAAGACATTAATTTGTTTTGAGTGGGCAGATATTATGGCTGGTGACTGTATAGGTGAACTGAAAACTACAGGACATAAAGTCCAATTTTCTCTTGTTTTCTTTGCTTTCTTTTTTTAAATTAATTTTATTGAGATAGAAGTAGCAATGAGACAGTTTCAAAACAGATTAGTAGGACAGTTACAATAATTAATACATTGCATATTGTTGTCTTATAGTGGTTATTCATAGTGCAAGATGCAGACATGATATCCTGTCCAAACACTATTAGTACAAATCTTTCTTCTCATTGAATTAAGAGAAAGTAGCTGTATATCTGTCCTGTTTTGTATATACAGATACAAAATGGTCCTTCTTTTATATCCCCTTTTTTTGTTTAGTTTTGTCAGAGATGGGTATTCCATTGCCATTTAAGTATTGTAGGTGTGTGATTCTTTGCTTTCATGGCAGAATATGAGTCATGTTCAAATTGAAAATTTTTTAAAGCCTACAATTTATAATCTAGCAAAGCATTTCCATAAAGTCAAAGGTACTTATGTTGAGCACAAAGTGCTCAAATAATTCATAACTATGTAGTTTGGGCTTTGATGTCAGCAGACTAGCTTAAATTCTGATTTTGCCATTCAGCTGCCTTAAGGTTGAACAAGTTCTTATGCCTTTCTAATCTTTATTCTGTCTGTACAGAGGAGCTAGCAGTATTACTACCTCAAGGGTATAAGCATTATATATTTGAACAATAATACATGTGAAACATTAGCAACTGCCTGACAAATAGTAAACGTCTATGATGAATACTTTTGCTGCCATTAATTATTATTGATATTATTATTACCTTATACTAATATTACTGTATTGTTTCCATGGAACTCTGAATTTTGTTCTTGTACTGTAGGAAAACTCTTTCCACTTGATCCAGAGACCCTCTCTCCTCCACCTAAGGCTTGGGCCTGCGCCCGTGCAATAGCTCAGCAGACTGAGTCCCTGCTTAGGTAAGCTCAGGGACCAGAGTTTGATCTCTGGCACCACAAGCTGGCTGAGTAGGACACTGAATCCGGGCGTGGTGGTGCATCCCTATAATCCCAGCGCTAGGGAGGCAGAAAATGGAAGGATCACTAAGAGTCTGTGCTGAGTAATGAGACCCTGTACCACATACATAAATTTAAAAATTAATTAATTAAGAATAAATCTTATGGTTCAGTGGAATGAGCACTTCCCTGATAAGCACAAGGGCCTGAGCTCAATCCCCGGGTTCGCAGAAAAAAAAAAAGGAATAAATCTTGAGCCTGCTGGCTGGTTGGATATTTCCCTTTGTTCTGTGTCCTGTCTTGTCAACGAGGGCATAAAAAAATCCAAGACAGCTGAGTGCTGCAGAGAACGTACCACTTGCTACCAGTTGCAGAGAAGTGTAATAAGCTTTGATTTTGTAGACCGCACACAGTATTAGGTGTTTTATTTTGCTTAAAAAAAAAAATACAGGTTTTATTATGCTTTAAACTGTGGTGTTGATTCATAAAAGTTATGTTTACCTTTTCTTTTATCAGGTTTAAGCCATTTTTTCCATACCAAACATTGCAAGGATTTGAAGAAGATGAAGAGCATATTCACATACAACATTGGGCACTTACTGAAGGCCGTCTTAAAGTTACATTGTTGGAATGCAGCAGGTATGTTCTTTTTGTCATGACTACTGTATGAGAAGGAATGGTGAAAATTACTTATGCAGTATTTGTGTTTATTCCCCTTTGTGTTAATTCTTTGATCATAAATTAATAAAAGTGGTCATTTCTAACATAAAAATATGAACCATATTTTAGAAAACACTAATGGAGGCAACATTTACATAATAGTAATTCTCAAACTTTTTAAGTGTATAATGCTGTTTTTTGGTTTTTTTTTTTTTTTTTTAATGTATTTGGTACAGGGTGTTACTATGCAACTCCAACTCCTAGTGATCCACCTGTTTTCAGCCTCCCAAGCCCTGGGATTACAGGCGTGTACCACCACACCTGGTCTTGGTGGCCAGCTCAGTGCACCTGGTGGGGGTGGGTCCAGCACAGTATGTGATCCTGGGGATCAAACCCCAGTCCCTGTGCTTGCCTAAGCAGGCGCTTAGTCTGCTAAGCTGCCTTGCTGGCCCCGATGTTATACTTTTAACTTACTCTAACTATTGACTTATTCCTAGGATAGCAGGGGTTTTTTTTTGGGGGGGGGTGTTGATTTTTTTTTTTTTTTTTTTTTTTTTTTTTTTTTGACATGGTCTCACTGTATAGTACAGGCCGGCCTGGAACTTGAACTCACTGTATAGCACAGCCTAGCCTTGAATTCGTGGCAGCTCTCCTATCTCAGCCGTGTGAGTGCTGGGATTATAGGTGTGCTCATCATGCCCAAACCTGCCATAATAGTTTTGAGAATTGTTATACTCAGAAAATTTGCTCACCCAATTTTGAACCCCTGTATGTTCAGAAGTAATTTGCCTCATCTCTTCATTTCCCCTCCACAGCACTCTAAGCTGTCTTCATAGCTCACTGAAACTTCTAAACTGTAGTAGCTTTCTTACTAACACTCTAGTTTCTAGTATGATAGTCAGTGATCTTTTCAAAATAGGAATGCAATTTGTTAGTCTGCTACTTAAAAGTCTTTAATAGTTTCACCACTGCTTTTAGAATCCAAATGCCTCAATTACAAATCTCATTCTTTCTCATCATCATGTGCTCAAAATTTTGTTCATATTGCTTTAGCCACATAGACCTTACTAAGAGATTGAGAGATTTTTTTTTTTCTCTAAAGATCCAGATAGTAAATATATTAGGCTGTACAATTTAATGGTCTTTGTTGTAGTTACTCAGCTCTGCAATATAGTGCAAAAGCAGTCAGACAATATGTAAAGAATGGGAGTGACAGGCAATAAACTTTATGTATAAATTTCATAATTTTCATGTGGTCGTGAAGTGTTCTTTTGATTGTTTTCCAACCATTTAAAAACATAAAAACCACTACTAGCCGATAGGCCATACAAAATAAGCAATGAAATGGGTTTGGACCACAGGCTATAGTTTGCATGGTATTCCCTACTTAGATATTTTAAAGTACCAGCTCTTTTTTTTTTCTTTTTGTGGAACCAGGGATTGAACTCAGGCCCTTATGCTTGCCAGGCAAGTGCTTATTCTATTGCACTGTCTCCCTGGCCCCCAAACTTCTCCCTGGCCCCCAAACTTTATTGGCTGTCCACAGTTTTCCTGGCCTACCTCATTTTCTGTTTCTTGAACAGGCTTTCCTGGTTTGGCTCAAAAACTACTTCTTGCTAATCCTGATTTCTCTCTTAATCATATGAAGTATAAATCTTTATGCTAGATTTCTGTGATACTATTTGTATCCGTTACCACTTTTTTTTTTTTTTTTTTTTTTTTTTTTTTCAGAACTGGGGATTGAACTCAGGACCTTGTGCTTGCCAGGCAAGCGCTTATTCTACTGAGCTATCTCCCCAGCTCCTCACTTAACACTTTTGATTTTTACTTCCAACCTATAATAAGATAATACTTGGCTATTACCAAGGTTATATTTAGGTCTTGAGTGAATCAGTATTGTACATCATTGTCAGAAATCCTAGCTAATAATTTTTTTATCAAAATGAATGTGTATATTTTATAATGGTTTCTTTTTTTTAACCTGTTAAAATAGATGCAATAGGTCCTATGCTCAGTATTTACAAAAACTAGTTATTTACCTTCGTGGTGCTGGTGAGGTTAAGCATTGATTAAATGGATGTTAGCTTGTAGCTATTTGACTATTAGTTTTAGTATTACTTTTGCTCACCATTCCGTTTATCTGTAATATTCACTGCTCACTTCAAGGAATACTGTTGAATTTTTTTGTGATTATGTCACCTGGTCAAGAAATAAAGACAAGAGACTGGGTGTGGTGGCACGCACCTATAATCCCAGCTCTTGGAAGGCTGAAAACAGGTGGATCACTGAGTCTGATCTAGTAGTGAGACCCTGAACACCCTGTAGACGCTTCTCTAAAATACCAGAAAATAAAAATAAAAATAAAGATGGGCCAGCAAGATAGCTCAGGGGTCTAAAGGGCCTACTTAGGCAAGCTTAGGCAGGCATGCAGGGACTGTGGTTCAATCCCTGGCACCACATGCCATGCCAGCCCCCCCTTCCCCCCAGGGCAGGCTGAGCCAGCCACGAAAGAAAGAAAGAAAGAAAGAAAGAAAGAAAGAAAGAAAGAAAGAAAGAGAAAAAAAGAAAGAAGACAAGTAGTGTTTGAAAGTACATGAGTTGAAGGTGAAAGCATGAAAAATACCATCTTTTATCAGTATGGTTTTACAGTGGTTCTTACATTATTCCATTAGTATTATGTACTTACATTTATCTCGTTTCAATTATGTATCCAAAACCACCACTGAGATACATTATGTGCTGGGCATTCATGTTTTGTGTGCCTTTCTATAGCTCCAATCGTAGATTGATTGATTGATTGATTGATTGATTTGTATTTAGTACAGGATCTACAGGGTCTCACTACACAGCTTGGACTCATAGGGATCCTCCTGTTTTCAGCCTCCCAAGATCTGGAATTACAGGCACGTATGTGCCATTGCTGTCTCAATATGCCCTGGGGGCGGGGCCTGCATTGCAAGCTGGGTATCGAACTCCTAGCCCCTGTGTCTGCCTAAGCAGGCATTTGAATCCACTGAGATATCTGGCCAGCCCCACTCCACTAGATTTTTACTAGCGCTTTCTCCAGAATCAGTGATCATTTCTTTCGTTAGGCTCATTGTCCGATTATGTACTTTTAAATTCACCAGGCACCTTACTGAACTTTTTCTTCTATTGATACCTTTTCAGACCTTTCTGTTGTGTGGATTATGATTTCCTCCCCCGTCATTTTCCCCTGAAGTGGTTTTGTGGGAGTTAGGAACTTTAGGAGGCATTTTGTTACCTTGTCTTTGCACTTTTCTATTTTTTTTTTTTTCTTTATACTTCAGTCCAGTACCAAGTTCTTTGCAAGTAAGTTGCAGTATTGTTTATGATCCTGAGGCAATCCAGATATTGGCAAACAGAAAAAAACAGTTAACAGCAACCACTGTGACACCTTAGCTCTAGTATAAAGTCAAGAACAATAATAGCAGCATCAAATATCAACTGGATACTGACAGATCCCAAAATCCCCTCATAAACTGCCCTTTAGCAAAGAGGTCTATGATTTTAGTAAAAATATTTAGTCCACCCAAATATTGATCTATAATAATTCAGACCATTAATTTCTGCTGAATGTATGTAACAATGCAAGAGCTCAAGCATGCTACTGGACTAGACACCATATATTTCAGTTCCACCCCCACTGAAGATTATCCACCAAATCTGGCCTCCCATCATGGTATACAGGGCCCATGTATACCCATGTATGCCTTAGCCTCCCAGGGGATTCCAGGAGATCCCTGTGTCATGCAAGGGAGGGGAAATGTCCTTGGATCCTCTGTGCTTCTGCATTCCTTGGAGGTATATTACCTGAAGATCTTTGTAGGCACTATCTTTATGAACTTGATCACATAAAGGTTTCCCCTGTTCTGGTGCATTACTTCTTTTTACACAGTTTAATTAAACTGGGTCTAGCTAGCTAGTCCATCCTTAATTTTCTTTTTTTTTTTTTTTTTTTTTCATTGCACTTTTATTTGAATGCTAGTATTTGGGACAATTGTCCAAAAGGGCCGATATTTCCCAATTCAATTTTGAGATAATAAAACAAGCAACAAAACAGTGTTTGGGATTTCAGTTTCTCACCCTTGTCATGAAGACCCACTGCCTCCCATCATCAATATTTATTGAGCATTTACAGTGTACTAGGCACAATAGAACATACAGAAAACATTGTCCCTGCTCATGAGGAGCTTACATTCTAAAAGGAAAAAAAAAATACACCTCTTTTAAAATGGCAATTTTGTTTGGTGTTTTCTGTAAAGAACTGAGGAAGTATTCTGCAGGGTGAGCTTTGGGTATAACTTAGCCCCATCATTATTTAGAGAAGAGAGAAAGAGAAAAGGATTTTAAAAGCAGACAACAACAGACTGTTCGGGATAGGACAGGGTACAGGGAGATAAACACGCTTTCCTCAGCTAAGGAGAGACGTGCCGCAGTGAAGAGGATGGAGGAAGCAGTTCGTGGGATGCAAGCAGAGGAAGCAGGTATCTTAGACATCGAGTGGAGCCAGAAAGATCATGCGGCCTTTTCCCAAGCACGTGGCCACCAAATAGGAATGGCTGGTGACAAGACA